GTACTGAGTAAAGGGTCTGAATACTTGTGTAAATGTGATATTCATGTTTTAGATTTTTTATAAATTGCTTTGGCATTATGGGGTATTGTGTGTAGATTGATGAGGGGGGAAAACTATTTAATCCATTTTAGAATAAGGCTGTAACGTAACAAAATGTGGAAAAAGCTAAGTGGTCTGAATACTATCCGAATGCACTGTATAGTGAGGAATATGTTTGGAACATCAAATTGTAATAAAATGCAGAATTGAATCACAATATACAGTGGGGAAAAAAGTATTTAGTCAGCCACCATTTGTGCAAGTTCTCCCACTTAAAAAGATGAGAGAGGCCTGTAATTTTCATCATAGGTACACGTCAACTATGACAGAAAAAATGAGGAAAAAAAATCCAGAAAATCACATTGTAGGATTTTTAATGAATTTATTTGCAAATTATGGTGGAAAATAAGTATTTTGTCAATAACAAAAGTTTCTCAATACTTTGTTATATACCCTTTGTTGGCAATGACACAGGTCAAACGTTTTCTGTAAGTCTTCACAAGGTTTTCACACACTGTTGCTGGCATTTTGGCCCATTCCTCCATGCAGATCTCCTCTAGAGCAGTGATGTTTTGGGGCTGTCGCTGGGCAACACAGACTTTCAACTCCCTCCAAAGATTTTCTATGGGGTTGAGATCTGGAGACTGGCTAGGCCACTCCAGGACCTTGAAATGCTTCTTACGAAGCCACTCCTTCGTTGCCCGGGCGGTGTGTTTGGGATCATTGTCATGCTGAAAGACCCAGCCACGTTTCATCTTCAATGCCCATGCTGATGGAAGGAGGTTTTCACTCAAAATCTCACGATACATGGCCCCATTCATTCTTTCCTTTACACAGATCAATCGTCCTGGTCCCTTTGCAGAAAAACAGCCCCAAAGCATGATGTTTCCACCCTCCATGCTTCACAGTAGGTATGGTGTTCTTTGGATGCAACTCAGCATTCTTTGTCCTCCAAACACGACGAGTTGAGTGTTTACCAAAAAGTTATATTTTGGTTTCATCTGACCATATGACATTCTCCCAATCCTCTTCTGGATCATCCAAATGCACTCTAGCAAACTTCAGACGGGCCTGGACATGTACTGGCTTAAGCAGGGGGACACGACTGGAACTGCAGGATTTGAGTCCCTGGCGGCGTAGTGTGTTACTGATGGTAGGCTTTGTTACTTTGGTCCCAGCTCTCTGCGGGTCATTCACTAGGTCCCCCCGTGTGGTTCTGGGATTTTTGCTCACCGTTCTTGTGATCATTTTGACCCCACGGGGTGAGATCTTGCGTGGAGCCCCAGATCGAGGGAGATTATCAGTGGTCTTGTATGTCTTCCATTTCCTAATAATTGCTCCCACAGTTGATTTCTTCAAACCAAGCTGCTTACCTATTGCAGATTCAGTCTTCCCAGCCTGGTGCAGGTCTACAATTTTGTTTCTGGTGTCCTTTGACAGCTCTTTGGTCTTGGCCATAGTGGAGTTTGGAGTGTGACTGTTTGAGGTTGTGGACAGGTGTCTTTTATACTGATAACAAGTTCAAACAGGTGCCATTAATACAGGTAACGAGTGGAGGACAGAGGAGCCTCTTAAAGAAGAAGTTACAGGTCTGTGAGAGCCAGAAATCTTGCTTGTTTGTAGGTGACCAAATACTTATTTTCCACCATAATTTGCAAATAAATTCATTAAAAATCCTACAATGTGATTTTCTGGATTTTTTTTCTTCTCAATTTGTCTGTCATAGTTGACGTGTACCTATGATGAAAATTACAGGCCTCTCTCATCTTTTTAAGTGGGAGAACTTGCACAATTGGTGGCTGACTAAATACTTTTTTCCCCCACTGTATATATATTTAGAATCGTGATAATCGCAATACATATTGTATCATTACCTAAGTATCATGATAATATTGTATCGTGAGGTCCCTAGCAATTCCCAGACCTACTGTAATGCATGGCTTTTCTACCTAAGTGTTCAATTGCTCTACTGTATACGACACTATTATAAAACATTTGCACATTGCACATCAACAATGTATGCGGATACCAATAATGGATGTTAATGTGCCACATTTTTCAATGTACAGTACAAAACTAATTTGGGTCTCTGTCACACAGATTCCCTTTCTCAAACTCTCCTCCTCTCCTCCTCCGCTCCCCAAGCCTTGACCTTAGACAACCCACCTCTCTCCTCAAATCCACCTTCCCCTCTGACCCCTGACCATGAGGAGATGGTCAACATGGAGGCAGTGGAATATAAGGAAGAGGTTGGTGAGGAGATGGAGAAAGACCCCCTGTCAGACAGCGGCTACATAGAGTTACACTACTACCAGTATCATCAGTACCAGTATCTGGTCCTGCCCGGGGACACTGAACTGGATCTGGAGACCGTAGAGATCCTGCAGCTGGATGCTGAGGCCCAAGAGGCTGCTGGGTCACTTCTGGACCTGGCAGGGGGTGGACATTAGACTGATCTACAGATAATAACATGCAGTGGGGTCTAAACAAATTGATCAATAGACTGAACTACACTGTGATGCAAGGAGATTATGTGCAACCTGAGTGATAGAAATTGGCAATACGTTGCTGTGTGCTGACATTTTGACACTGCCTGAGATTAGATTTGCTGTCATGAAGTGATATACTGTAGCTACTATGATTGCACATCCAAGCCACTTTACCTGATGCATGTGAACACATTTAAGCAACTCGCCACATGAATTGACATGTACCAAACATTGGCATATGCTTTTGGTATAAATTAAGGAGAAAATAGATTGACGCTGTACTGATAAGAATCAATACATCTATATTTTGATGGAATACTACAGATGAATGATAACATGAGAAATCTACTGCCAATGAATCCACTCTCAGATTCAGGGGACAAAGAAAGTTATGTTCAATTCTGAATCCTGAATCTGATTTTATAATAATCTCTTTACCAGGTGCATCTTTTATTGAACACTTTATTATTGTGCAGAATTAATTTGATAGCCTATGTCATTTGTTTAGAAAGAAACTTTAGACATTTGTCATTCATCTCTTTTTCACATCTTAACTGTATTAACAATAAAGCACCAAACTCTTATAGGAACTGTTTATATTTTTTTCCACGAATGCAGTGTCCAAACCATTTTATTTATGTACACCTTTTTCAAATACTTTATGGGAATCAATCAAGGAATCAAATATTTATATTTTATTTTATATTTCTAAAGATCTTTACATTCCTTGGATTCAATGTGCAGACTGACACACCCTAATTTGTGGGGAGAAATTTGACTGGAAATAACAAGTAACCAAAATAAATGCACATTTGTATTTGTGCCCGTCTAGGGATTATGTCAAGAGCCAAAGCGCAAGATTAACATGTTGAAAAAATCATAGCTATTTAGGAAAGTCGCTTTTGGGTGTGGTGTTGATGGCATAACCACACTTCATATTCCGCGTTCGTAGCACTCCGATAAAACTACATTTGCCATCATTGTTAGGGTAACAATTATCGCCTGGAGGATCTTTGTAAATGTAGTTTAACTACTTCCCGGGATAACGCCATTGATCGACACTAAAACTACAAGGCGATCGGACACGGAAGTGACAATTCGTGGTTGAAAAGTTTTCGTGCTAGCAGTGTTGTTATTTTTCTGACTCTATTTTTCTGACTCATAGCTATCTAGCTTGTTCCTGTGAAATCTGCTTATTCGGGATACCAAAGGTAAAACTGTGTTTCAGTTAATAAATCACGATTGTTCATGAACAGTAAACCGTCGTTAACAATTGTGAGAAAGTAATCTTTTTGTTAGTTCCTTTTAACTAGCTGAAAACAAGCCTCGATAATTTGAGCGTGCCATCAGTAACGTTAGCTACATTGCTCAAATATTGTACTGTGCCGTGTCAACTACCTAGATTGCTAAATAATTTAACTTGCCAACTAATGCCCTCAATGTATCAAATTGCTATTGGTTTAGAGTAGGCATAAACTGTTCTCTAGACTTTAGTAGTAGTATAAAAGGAGTGTGATTGTTTGGGCCATTCTATTCTAGGTAGCTAGCTACACAGATGAGAGAAACCTGTGTCAGACAGTCATGGGAGAGAAATTCATGGAATGTCACTTCTTGATCTTTCGGCACCACACCTTCAGATTACCGGTCATAATTGCTAATTGACTATCTTGTCTGTGACAGGAGTAATGTAATAGTGTGTGTGAGCACATTCATTTTATTCGGATCTAAGAATGTCTAGTAAGGTTGGATATTGATGTAGCTTCCAGCCAGGTAAGGAATTGTAATATTGTGTTGATTTATATAGCCGTGTTTGCCTTTTCCACCCTTTCAGCAAGGGTGGCTACTAGCACTGCAACAAAGAGCCTCATTGAGAGGACTAGAGGAATCTCAGCGTGGATGTGGAGCATGCATTAGCCCGCAGCTGGGTTGATGTATCACACATTACTTAGACACAGTCCTGCGCAGAGACCAACATTGTCTAATGATTAAAGCTTATCTGTGTATGAGTTGTTTCTCACTGGGTTTTCCTCATGAAAGAAAAATGAATACAAATTATATTTTACTCTTGTCTTTCATGGCCTCAGTTTGAGCTTGAATTGTTTATACAAGGAGTGCGATGACATGTCCAGATATAATGGCATAACAAGTTACCAGAGTTGTAACACCCATTAGTTATACAGTATCATCAGCGTTGATATCAGCTTGATGTGAGACAGGCCTACATCTAACCTGTGTAGCTCAGTTGGTAGAGCATGGCATTTGCAATGCCAGGGTTGTGGGTTCGATTCCCACGGGGGGCCAGTATGAAAATGTATGCACTCACTAACTGTAAGTCGCTCTGGATAAGAGCGTCTGCTAAATGACTAAAAATGTAAAAATCTAACCGACACTAACATGAAATAACGCCTCAATAGGGCGGCGCACAATTGGCCCATATAAGTCTAAATCTCATGTGTGTCCCGTCACCCACAGGGAGCGATGGGGAGTGAGCCAGGTCCAGTCCAGATTGTGACAGTGTGCAAGGAGGATCACTCCTTTGCCTTGGACACAGAGGCTTTAGGACGGGTTCTGCTTGCACCGGAGGTCCGGGACAAACATGTGGTGGTGCTCTCAGTGGCCGGGGCCTTCCGGAAAGGCAAGAGCTTCATTCTGGACTTCATGCTCCGCTACATGTACAGGAAGGTTAGTGTTTCTGAAATTGGAACATATACACCCACACTTGGTTCAAAGTTCAGTATGTCATTCGTTTTATATCACATACCATCTCTCCCTGTGACGTGAAATGTTTCCTGATATCAGACTTATTCCCAGGGCTGCTGACCAGTCAGTAATGTGTAGCGGCGTCTGTATTCCTCCAGAAGCATGGTGAGGAGTGGCTGGGTCAGGAGGATGAGCCCCTGACTGGGTTCAAATGGAGGGGGGGCTCAGAGCCAGAGACTACCGGCATCCAGCTGTGGAGTGAGGTCTTCCTGGTGGAGAAGAGCAATGGGACGGAGGTACTGACTCCAACATTCAAAACTATGCTCCTTGGAATAATTGTGCCATTGTGCAAAAAAGTTATATGGGCACTGGAACGCAAAAGTGTGCAAATTGTAATGTTTGTGTTGGTATTATGCATTTGATTGATTTCTGCCCTCTGTAGGTGGCAGTATTATTGATGGACACCCAGGGCGCATTTGACAACCAGTCCACCGTAAAGGATTGTGCCACAATCTTTGCCCTCAGTACCATGACCAGCTCAATACAGGTGGTCTGCTATGCACTCATGTCATTTGTTATAATTGATGTCATTAATCTGACTTTTTAAAAAAAAATTTGTGTAATATGGTTGTGATTGTTTGTGTCTCTCTTGCAGATCTACAACCTTTCACAGAACATTCAGGAAGATGATCTGCAGCAGCTGCAGGTCCGTTTTCCTCAGCAGTAACATGTTTGCCTGGCTGAAACGACAGACTCTTGTTGAGTCGAGTCTCGGGAGGCTCTGTAATGTTGTCGGCACCATGTTCCGATAATGAAAGGGGCTGTGCTTTTACAGTGGTTGGTTCTCTGTGTCTCTCTCACTGAAACACCACACACAGCCCTCCAGCACCACCCCCTTGCATTGCAACTATTCATTTTTCAAATCCAAACAGCAAGAGGACTCAATCAGCTTGATTGCTCAAAACTGAGCTCTAAAACTACTGTAAACATTGGACTCAATGAGAGTTTAAAAACAGGGTATTCAGACCAACAGTGTGTACACAGCTCGCATTGTGCCACGTGGTCTGGTGTCAGACAGACTAGCAACATGTTCTACCTGTTCCACAACCTGAGAGCATGGCTCCCGAAGGGCATGGAAATATCAGGGAATTTAAAAACCAGCCAGGGGTTTTGGATATCAATGTGCTCATTCAAAGTCAGGGAATTTCAGAACATACCCGAAGTGCAAATTTTTTACAGTATTTGAAATAGTAATTGCAGTACCTTAAGTACATTTTGTCATTTTTTATGTGATTTCCTCTGCATAATGAATGACATCCTTAATGTTATGTCTTCTTCCAGCTGTTCACAGAGTATGGACGCCTCGCCATGGATGAAATCTTCCTGAAGCCATTTCAGGTATGAAAACCAAAAGTCTTATAAATACAAAGCAATTGGTCATTTAGAATCTAGACCAATCATCTTTAAGTGCCTTTTGACCTTGCTCGCTGCTTAGGGTATAATATATGCTAACTAAAAGTGCTTTATTATATGTGCCTTGCTTTTAATATATCTTGGTCTCTCCATTCTCCCATTTTCTCAGTCTCTGATGTTCCTAATCAGGGACTGGAGCTTTCCCTATGAATATAAATATGGTCTGAAGGGAGGCAGTGAGTTCCTTGATAAACGTCTACAGGTACTAGACCCTTTTTAGGGTACAATTTGATGTTGTTGGTGCTGCACTGTGTAAGATGAGAGAGTACATTTTGCCAGGTTAAAGTGGTCATTGGTGATAGTAACCAGTAATTGTGATGTTGTGCAGGTGAAGGAGACCCAGCATGAGGAACTACAGACAGTGAGAGAACACATTCATTCCTGCTTCACCTCCATCAACTGTTTCCTGCTACCACATCCTGGGTTGAAGGTGGCCACCAGCCCCGCTTTCAAGGGCCAGCTTAGTGGTATGGCTGCCCCCTTGTCCATCTTGTTAATCCATCTAATGATAACCAACTGAGTGTCTGAGGAATGAACTTAATCTGTTTCAAACCTGTGTGTCAGATGTGGCTCCAGAGTTTAAAGAGGAGCTACGCAATCTCATCCCCACACTACTGCATCCGGACAGCCTGGCTGAGAAAGAGATCAATGGCAACAAAGTCACCTGCAGGGGCCTGCTGGAGTTCTTCAAGGTGAGACTGTGTGTTTAGCCCTCTGAAGTTCCTGACTGCCGGGTTTGTATCATTATGTTGTGTTTGACAGTGTAATGTTTGATTTCAGGCGTACATCAAGATCTACCAGGGTGAAGACCTGCCACACCCAAAGTCCATGCTGCTGGTACGCACCCATTTATCACTTAGATTTCAGCTTTACACCTCTTTGAGAGCTGTAATGTACACTACCAGTCAAAAGTTTTAGAACACCTACTCATTCAAGGGTTTTTCTTTATTTTTACTATTTTCTACATTGTAGAATAATAGTGAAGACATCAAAACTATCAAATAACACACATGGAATCATGTAGTAACCCAAAATAGTGTTAAACAAATCAAAATATATTATATATTTGAGATTCTTCAAATAGCCACCCTTTGCCTTGATGACAGCTTTGCACACTCTTGGCATTCTCTCAACCAGCTTCACCTGGAATGCTATTCCAACAGTCTTGAAGGAGTTCCCACATATGCTGAGCACTTGTTGGCTGCTTTTCATGCACACATTTTTTACATTTTTAGTCATTTAGCAGATGCTCTTATCCAGAGCGACTTACAGTTAGTGAGTGCATAAAAAAAAAAATCATACTGGCCCCCTGTGGGAATCGAACCCACAACCCTGGCGTTTGGCAAGCGCCATGCTCTACCAACTGAGCTACACGGGGCCTTCACTCTGCGGTCCGACTCATCCCAAACCATCTCAATTTGGTTGAGGTCGGGAGATTGTGGAGGCCAGGTCTTCTGATGCAGCACTCCATCACTCTCCTTCTTAGTAAAATAGCCCTTACACAGCCTAGAGGTGTGTTGGGTCACTGTCCTGTTGAAAAACAAATGATAGTCCCACAAAGCCCAAACCAGATGGGATGGCGTATTGCTGCAGAATTAAGTGTGCCTTGAATTCTAAATAAATCACAGACAGTGTCACCAGCAAAGCACCCCCACACCATAACACCTCCTCCTCAATGCTTTACGGTGGAAAATACACATGCGGAGATTCACCCACACCGCGTCTCACAAAGACACAGTGGTTGGAACCAAAAATATCCACAATTTGGACTCCATACCAAAGGACACATTTCCACCGGTCTAATGTCCATTGCGCGTGTTTCTTGGCCCAAGCAAGTGTCTTCTTCTTATTGGTGTCCTTTAGTAGTGGTTTCTTGGCAGCAATTCGACAATGAAGGCCTGATTCACACAGTCTCTTCTGAACAGTTGCTGTTGATATGTGTCTGTTACTTGAACTCTGTGAAGCATTTATTTGGGCTGCAATTTCTGAGGCTGGTAACTCTAATGAACTTATCCTCTGCAGCAGAGGTAACTCTGGGTCTTCCATTCCTGTGGCGGTCCTCATGAGAGCCAGTTTCATAATAGCACTTGATGGTTTTTGCGACTGCACTTGAAGAAACGTTCTAAGTTCTTGAAATGTTCCATATTGACTGACCTTCATGTCTTAAAGTAATGATGGACTGTCGTTTCTCTTTGCTTATTTGAGCTGTTCTTGCCATAATATGGACTTGGTCTTTTACCAAATAGGGCTATCTTCTGTATACCTTGTCACAACACAACTGATTGGCTCAAACGCATTAAGAAGGAAATAAATTCCACAAATTAACTTTTAAGAAGGCACACCTGTTAATTGAAATGCATTCCAAGTGACTACCTCATGAAGCTGGTTGAGAGAATGCCAAGCGTGTGCAAAGCTGTCATCAAGGCAAAGGGTGGCTATTTGAAGAATCTCAAATATAAAATATATTTTGATTTGTTTAATACTTTTTTATGTTACTACATGATTCCATATGTTATTTCATAGTTTTGATGTCTTCACTATTATTCTACAATGTAGAAAATAGTAAAAATAAAGAGAACCCCTTGAGTAGGTGTTCTAAAATGTTTGACCGGTAGTGTAATGCTCTACTGCAGGGGTATCAAACGTCCGGCCCGCGGGCCGGATCAGGCCCGCAAACGGGTTTAATCCGGCCCGCGAGATGATTTAAAATAAAATAAAAAATAAAAAAACGTTGTAAAGTATAAAAATGCGCTGCAATTTTTCTATTAAATTAACTGCTGTTCCAATTGCGTCCACTGGATGGCGCAATAGCAATTGTGTTAAGCAAGCAAACTGTTTATACCGGGGCAGAGCAAGTAGGTCAAGCACGTGCAGCCAATGAGCTACTTTGTTTTGCCCGCGATATTTATTACGGCTTCTACTTTTAACATTATGTGCTTTGGCACCCTCATTGCCCCAATATGTCTCTGTCAAAAAAGAGAAAAGTGGACGCAGAGTGCAGAGTGTTCCAAGAAAAATGGTCATCCTATTTATTCACGGAATTGAATGGGAAAGCTGTATGTTTGGTGTGTTCAGAGCATGTTGCAGTGCTGAAAGAATATAACCTTCGTCGCCACTATGTGAGTCTTCATGCCGACAAATATGACAACTTTCAAGGACAGCGGAGAAGAGAGAAGGTGAATGAACTGTTGGCGGGTCTGAAGAAACAGCAGTCTGTGTTTACTCACAGCCGAGACATCAGTGACGCTGCAGTGAAAGCTAGCTACCTCATTGCTAATGAAATCGCAGTGGCTTCAAAACCATTTAGTGAGGGTGAATTTGTAAAAACATGCATGATGAAGGCAGCGGAGATTGTGTGCCCTGAAAAGCGGCAGGCTTTTGCAAATATCAGCCTGACAAGAAACACAGTTGCAGACAGGATTTCCGATCTTTCAGTGGATTTGGACAGCCAGTTGAAGCAAAAAGTAAAGTCATTTATTGCGTTTTCGGTTGCAATTGATGAAAGCACGGACATTACAGATGTTGCACAACTGGCCATTTTCATCCGCGGAGTTGATGACACATTGACCGTCACCGAGGAGTTCGTGGAGTTGGTGCCGATGACAGATACAACGACAGCAGCTGATATTTTTACCGCACTCGTCGGTGCGCTGGACAGGGTTGGAGTGGACTGGTCCCGCGCTGTCAGCCTGGCTACAGATGCGCCCTCAATGATCGGGAAAAAAGCAGGCGTTGTGACAAAGTTCAGAGAGAAAGTGCAATCTGCAAATGGAGGATGTGATTTTTTGACTTTTCACTGTATTTTGCACCAGGAGGCTTTGTGTTGCAAGTCATTAAAGATGGATAACGTCATGAAGGTGGTCATCCAAACTGTTAATTTCATCCGATCCAGAAGCCTGAATCACCGTCAGTTTGACAGCCTTCTCAGAGAGAAAGACCACATCTATGGCCTGCCATACCACACTGAGGTAAGATGGTTAAGCCGAGGTGCTGTGCTGAGGCGTTTCTTTGATTTACGAGAAGAAATTGAACAGTTCATGGAAGAAAAGGGCAAACCAGTGTTAGAATTTCATTCCGCAGAATGGATGCAGGACCTTGCATTTATGGTGGATGTTACAGAGCACCTGAATAACTTGAACAAACAGCTGCAAGGGCGCAACAAAGTTGTCACGCAGTATTATGACAGCATACGTTCTTTCAAGTTGAAGCTGTCATTGTGGGAGACGCAACTTGCCGGTGGTGATGCAGCTCACTTCCCCTGTCTGAAAAATGTGTGCGCGACCCAACATGTGGCAGACATGAAGCGGTTCAAAGATAAAATAACGGGACTGTTACGGGAGTTTGAGCAACGCTTTCAGATTTATGTTTATATGTTTTTATGTTGATGTGCTATTGTTTTTAATTGATTTAATTTTATTTGTATATTTAACCCATTCTTGACTCTGTGGTTCTTGCACTTGTTTGGGGAACAGGATTTCATTATTTTTATCTACATTTCTGCCTGAGAAATGACACCCTGATATAGTTCTGTGATCTGTGATATACTTCTGTGAATCACTGAGGCATTGTGTGTTTGTGTGTTCTTTGTCCTCAGAACTTTCAAATAACTTGAGGTGTTTTATGATTAATAGTGATGTTGTGCTTTTGGACACTGTCCTCAGGCTCCAGCTTTATGTTTATATGTTTTTATGTTGATGTGCTATTGTTTTTAATTGATTTTATTTTATTTGTATATTTAACCTATTCTTGACTCTGTGGTTCTTGCACTTGTTTGGGGAACAGGATTTCATTATTTTTATCTACATTTCTGCCTGAGAAATGACACCCTGATATAGTTATGTGATCTGTGAAACAGTTCTGTTAATCACTGAAGCATTGTGTGTTTGTGTTATTTTTGTTTAGAATTTTCAAATAAACTTGACGTGTTTTATGATTAATAGTGATGTTGTGCTTGTACTATTTTGGACACACTGTCCTCAGGCTCCAGCTTTATGTTGTATGTTGATCGTATTAAAACAAAGAAAACAATCTGAAGTTGTTGTTTTTAAGTTATATATACCATGATTTTTCCAGTCCGGCCCACTTGGGAATAGATTTTCCTCCATGTGGCCCCTGAGCTAAAATGAGTTTGACACCCCTGCTCTACTGTATTGCTCTTCAACAGGCAAATGTTCTTTTTGGAGATTTGAGCATGTTCATAAGTCTGGAGTTTTTGTTGAATGTTATTAGTCCACTGCCACTAAATGTACATTGCATTTCTCTCACAAGGCCACAGCAGAGGCCAACAACCTGGCAGCCGTGGCAGCAGCCAAAGACCAGTATTACAAGAACATGGAGAAGGTGGGGTTGTGTTCTTGGCAAAGAGAGCTACGTGCATTTTTTAAATATCTGAAATAAAAATGTATCTTAACCCTTAAGGCCTTGCATTCTGTATTAATCTCTCTATTGTCCTGAAGGTCTGCGGGGGAGACCTTCCCTATGTGGCTCCTGCCTCTCTGGAGGAGAAGCACCACTTCTTCCTCCGGGAGTCCCTCCATGTCTTCTCCTCCACCAAAAAGATGGGAGGGCAGGAGTTCTGTGACCGCTACCAAGACCAGCTGGAGGCTGAGTTGGTAGAGCTGTGGCAGTCTTTCAGAAAGCACAATGAGGTGAGAGAGACTGACTCACAACCTAGTGGTATCACTTGGCACCAGATCAATTTTTGTCAGTAAAAACATTTTATTTTCCATTTTAAATTTACTGTGGATACATATAAGGTAGAATTATTGAAGTTAAGTTTACAGATAAACATTATGATTAATATTATTTTTATTTCTCTTTGAAAGTCAAAGAATGTCTTCACTGCATTCCGGACGCCTGCAGTGCTGTTTGTCCTTGTGTGCTTCCTGTACGTACTGTCAGGGCTGTTGCTCTTCATCGGCCTGGCTACCATTGCTTTTGCATGTGACTGTGTCTTGGGCCTGGCCATGGTCGCCATGCTCACCTGGGCCTTCATACGCTATTCGGGAAAATACCGGGGGCTGGGGGGAGCCATCGACCAGACGGCAGGCGTCATACTGCAGCAGGTGAGAACAGCTTTTGAATTGTAGGTGTGGGTGGGACATAAGACAAGGCCCATTTACATTTGGCGCACAGAGTATGCAGTTGGACTGTTAAAAAAAAAATAGCTAAGCATAGTTATTGTTTTGTAAACTTTTGGTAAGAATCAAAATGTCCCTCATTAGAAGTAATTCAAGTACCCTTATTTAAAGTTTTCATTCAATGCAATTTAATCATGTCCTTCTTTTCTTTCAGGCCACTGTGGTGTTGAATAAGTCAAGGCCAGCAGTGGCTAAGATGAAGAAATCCAGCTAGATGGCCTCTTTATCTCATTGCAATACAACATGCACACATCCCAGCACTAAAGCCTTACAATGCTATCACATGGAACCAACATATAGCACTCCAACACCAACACATGATTACAACGGCAGTGGGAGGTCAACACGATGCACATTCACCAGCATCTTTATTATTATTATTTTTTGTTACATTTTAGTCATTTAGCAGACGTTCTTATCCAGAGCGACTTACAGTTAGTGAGTGCATACATTTTCATACTGCCCCCCCCCCCCCCCCCCCCCCCCCCCGTGGGAAACGAACCCACAACCCTGGCGTTGCAAGCACCGTGCTCTACCAACTGAGCTACACGGGGCCTTTTCAATCGCACAATTTTACACTACATCACTCTATCTACATAAAGATGAGATCATAGTCTTACAGAGTATCTGGGGACAAGGTGCATTATCTCATACTCATGGGGATGTTTAATCCTCAGGACCTGTTTTTAACACTGACTGACACTGCCATTTGCACACTCCTCCTTGTCCGTAAAGACAACCCAGTGATGTTTACTTACAAACCTTAGACCCAAGTAATGCATTATTATTGGACATGCCATGGATTTCAATGCATCATAATCTATGTATCCTTTGTGACCAATGCTTATTACTAGGAGGCTTGCGAGGAGGCTTTTAAGTCATGTAAGACTTAGTGTATCCTCCTGATGCAATTTAACTATGCTGTGCTGTAATGGGGTATACATGTAGCCAGATCTTCTTGACTTTATGCCGGTCTCTTTATACCGCTCTGTGGCCTTGTGCACATTCCATCCCATTCCCAGTTTTGCAGCATGCTCCTTATTTGCTTCACCTTATCCATGTCAGGGATTCCTTGTTGTTGTTCTGTTTTCGCTTCATTTTTGATTCCAGGCTTGGAATCTTACTATAATGTCTCTTATTTTATGTTTTTACAAGCCCACGTTAGAGACACCACTGTTCTCCCATGTAATTTGTTGACTGCTTGTAACTTGACCAAAAATGTCTAAGTTACTTCTGAAATTGAATGGTTGGTTGAGAAACGTTAGTTTAGTGGCACTTGCTTGATGAATGTATGCTCCAAAGATGTTATATGTAAGATTTCGCAATACAGAGGATCACTTGAAATTAGATTGTGATCATTTGAATTTGAGAACTGTTTTCTTATCTGGATTAGGTTTACTGGTTTGTGTGTAAACAAGTGATGGGTAATGTGAGGCGCTTGGTCACCTGTCAGCCAAAGAATTACCCATAAGCATAGGGTTACAATGAAAGGCAAGAGACCTTGTCCTCAGAATCCAGATAAATATACATAGTTCTAAAAGTTCCATTGTCTCTGACATTCTTTTTGCACATTCCATGTATATGTTCCATTCCATTCTTGAGGCAAACTATTGGAGGTGTTTTCCGAATGTACTATTGCACTCTCCCTCCTCTGTACTGTTACATTTGAACTCATTCAACAAATACAAATATACATTACAGTAGATGCATGAAATTCATGTGCTCATTGCTTTCGAAAATCTTTTGCAATATTGTTTTGTGGCCTTGGTAACTATGTTTTTATTTACATTTTTAAGAATAAGTATTGCTTAAGCCAAATAAAATGCAAAAGACCTGTAAGCTTGGTTCAGTTCTTGACTATAAATTGGATATATATATACCTATGTCATGCCAAAAACGTTTTTCATTCATTGATTCTGGTGTTCCTTTTACTGAAAGGGTCAGTATTGAATGGATATAGGCCAACAGAAGATTGATGACATTATTGATATTATGAAGATGGCAATCTTATTGCACTCTTCTAATGTTAATGATGATGAATCAATCACCCATTACTGTTAGTTGGCATCAAACAGGGTTATTGAATTAATTCATTGGGTGCGCGCCGTGGGCGTGCCAACGGACAGGTTTTTGTGTTGTACACTGCTTAGTTGTAAATGAATGAAAAGGGGTTATTATCCATTCATACTCCAGTGGCAGAGCCGTTCCCTCTTTTTAGTTTGTCTTCTTTGTCCCGCCTACTTTCCCCCTCTTGCTGTCACTCCTTTCTATGCTCCACAATGCTGCTTCTACCAGTGCGTACTGCGTAGTGAAATTTGCTATAGTGAAAATCATGTCCTTGTTTCCTTATATGGTGATCGGCGTCGCGGGCTGCCTTGTTGAACCGAGGCGCGTGCACTGCCGCCGCCACCATTCGCTTCCATATTTGGAAGTGAGTTCAACAAACCTTGTAGAGGGGGTGTGGTGAGGCGAGAAAGCGCAAGTGAGACCGAATACTGAGATATTATGGATCCTACACTATGATAAATAATTATTCTCGTATCTGAATAGTGTAAGTGTCCGTAGTCCTATATTGTACACACAGAATCACTTTGATGTAGGGCGCGTGTTTTCCCCAACAGTTTTTTTAAGTGAATGTCAGTGGCCGGCCTAAGGCATACAAGCAACAGCACTGCAGCATCTTTTGAGAATGAAGGGATGGATACTCATCCTCGCATCCGTGAAATTCTAATTTTATTAAAAAATGAAAGTAGCCTTCTATCTTATATCAATGTTGTTTATTTGTTCACATGTTATGTTTTATTTGAATAAACAATAAACGTTTGTCAAAAGTTTAGAACTTCTAATACCACTATGTTAAAGCTCATGACCACTCTTTCCTGGAGATGCTCGCGCTTCTCACCCCACCATCAAGCACGCGCAGCTAAGCGCGTCCACGTGGTGTATCAAATGTGTGCGAGATCGACACTGCATCACAGCTCATTCAATTTCTAACCAGACGCCGACCAATTCAGACAGCCATGGTACGTTTACATTTAACAACTAGCTATGTGGCATATCATTGGGGGGGGGGAAATATATGTATACACGTGTCATTAGAGTGTGTTTTGTCTTTGTTGATGCAATGTATTTTAGCTAGTGAACAGCGAGTTCATTTTGAGATGAAACCGACAGCATCAGATTGTCTCGGGTCAGCTGTGACTGCTATGCTGTGTTCTGGAACGTTTCCTAGTTGAATATTAAATCTTGGATGGTAGCAAAATGTTTTGACTCATTCAGGTGACTGTCCCTAACTCACAAAAGCTTGTATTATACAGATGTTTGCTCGTCTCCTCATGACGTTATAATCGCCTAGCATAGGACGTGTTTGGATGGAAGGAAAACGACCCAAAAACAACTGGCGCCATTTCCTCCATCACACAATCTCCCCGTCACTAAGGCCTAATGCCCAGTCTAGCACTGTAAGCACCGAGTCGCAAGTAGCAGTCACTCTTATCGCCGAATTAATACGCTATCAAGTGAAATTAGCTAGCTACTGCCCAGTACTACTCATCCCCCTTGAATTTGCCAGCTATCTATCACTATCTGGCTTTGTATTTGCCGGTACTAACGGCTAATTTCACATGGCTAACGGAATACACTTACTGTGCCTGCACATAGCTAACTAGCCATTTAGCAAGCTAACTAGCTAATTTGATTTCCACCTCCTTTGTCTCCGCCAGTCGCACGAGCCCCTTGGTTTTTATTAACTAGCAAACTAACGTGCGCAGGTGCCATGGCAATTGACTAAAAGTTAGCTTTAATTATAGATAGCACTTATGTTTGCAACATGTGAAAATAATCGCGTTAGCGGTCTGGTATTTTGTCGACATCGTTTTGCCTTATATAGTGCACATGTGAGACCACTGCGTTCATGGCCCCACCCTGGTTTTTGGTGCAAAGAGCATTTTTGAACGTTTTCTCTACTGTAAACAGTAGCCAACTAGGTATTAAATGTCTGTCCGCAGTAGTTTTATTTAGTGATGAGTATAACAAAGTCAGGCGAAGGTCGAAAAATTGTCGGGGGTGGAACCGTTATTCCGCGTGCTATCACTAGCTTTTTGCAAGTGGTCCTTTTGTCGTTAACAAGCGTTTCCCGCGACGTTCTTCCTGGTTTCTAAGTATCAACTTTTGGCTAGTGGTGCCTCGGAACGAAGTTCACGAGATGCTTGCGAACGACCAAATCTACTGTAGCATACTCAAGAAACAATTCGTCATAAATGTTGTTCATGTGTGGCTCACACCTAGGTCTCACTCAATGTACCTAGGCTTAACCATGAATAAACTTGCCGAATTATCAACATTTTTGTCCAAAAGAGCAAATTCTGGTTTCTATTGTCATGCTTTCCACATTATGTTCTTAATTTGGTGTATCTATGACCGATCGGGGAGGGGGGGAATCTCGATTACATTCAATTTACTCGAAGATTAGAGATCCTATTTTCCCACTTGCTGTTCATTTGTGAGGCCTTTTATGTACCATTCTTGATAATATGAATAATGTATTACTACATGACATCAATGCTTTGGTTCTATTGTATATGATGAATGAATAGTCACTGTGTTGGACACGATTGGTCTCTGTTCCTGCCGAGTAGTGAGCTGGCTGGGTGCAAGGGCTTGGCTGAAGGAAGTGCTGGTTCTGTTGTGAAAAGGACCAGCTATGTATCCGGAGGGGCCCACAGTAGTCTTTAGTGCCCTATTATGGGTGCAGTTGGACAGATGCTGGAATAGCTAACCAAAATGATTGGGTGAAATCATTTCTTGTTGATTACAGCTACTTGGTGAAGGAATTTTTATTTATTACACTAAATTTCAGGTGAATTTGAATAAAAAGTATTGATGTCCTTTTTCACCAACTCACTAACTGATGGTTAGTCTGGAGAACAACCTTTTTAGGTTTACAGTCATGAACCTGACATGGCTGTCTTATCATGTGCTGTTATTTGAACCTTGACTTTTGGCAACATTCTGTGGTATTTTATGGCAGGAAGAAAGGGATCTCTGTTGCTCCGAGAAGAATATGCTTTCTGCATGGAGGGACTAAAAGGGTATAATCTTCACAGGCTTCTGGGTATTTTTCTTTTCACACAGGTATCCCCAGTCAGCGCTTTAGTCTGTGGTGTGGCTTGCTGCAGTGTGAAGAAACATGCATTGTCTGAAGAGCTCTCAGAATAGTAACAGGAGTGCTCATTGTTTTGGAAGATCTGCAGGATTAAGTGGAGCTGCATGGCAGTTGGCTGCTGTTTGCAATCACTCTGGGCTCTTCACCCTCGGTAGGAGGGCCTTGCTCTTCCTAGAATAAATGATTGCCCTGGAAATGGAACCCTTCCCCGGCAGCACTTTTAATACTTTGGTAAAGTATTTTCCCTCCCTCATGTTCTGGACGTCACTAATCCAGATGTTTGTATCTAAACTCTCCAGGCTCACCACTAGATGATTAGGTCCTGAGCCCAGTGTGGTCTCTCACAGGCCCTGGCCATCCTCACGCCCAGAGCAAACACGCCCACACCCTTCACACACAAATTACCTCAGTGGGTCACTACAGTGGCAGGGCTCTGGAAGGTATGAAGCCACTCTCAGGCCAGGAGTGCATTTTTAATGAAGGCCTCCTCTGTTGTATGGATGTGGCTTTACTTGGTGAAAAGAGTGTCTAGTCTACCTGATTTAGCAGAAGGTTGATGAAAGGATTGGCCAAACCCTGCCAGACGGAGGGGTGTTTTGACACTTGGTAACATCCTCTGGCCGGCTCCTGCATGGGTTGATATGATGCCTGTTGGGTAAAATGTCCTAATGGAAATCAGAAGACCTGGTTGAGGTTTATAGGGCTGTTGTGACTCAAGGATGTGGCCTGTTTTTATTTCCCACAGAGGATCCATTGTCTGTGACCGACCCACACATTCTAAGGCTTAATTCCTGTCCCCACCTTCACTCCCATGGCTATTTTAAAGCAGTTACTTACATGGCATGGCTGGCGATCTCACATACTGTACACGTTTACAGTTATAGTAGGAGGAAAAACCCTCCTACTTGTGTAACTTGGTTTTATCTGCCCTTTTCAGAGACACCTGTTACTGGCCCTTATCAGGCAGTAGCAATCAATCAATGCATCTTTGGCATGTTATGTTATTTACGAAGGTCAATAATTCATCCGTCCCCCTCACAGCTACCCCTTACTCATCAGGGATGTTAGTGTGGGTTCTCACTCCAGATTGTGTCCAAGTTTGGAAAAAGGGTTAAACCCTCTGCCTTTTTCTAAATGCCACTCCTGCTGAGTCATGCATGCCATGCTGTACATCATTATTTTTCTGGTCAATGCCATGGATGGGGACTCGTATAGTCCATCAGCTTCACTGATCATGTGGGTAGAGGTCATAGAAACCATAGGATTGCGGTCTGGCTTATGGTGCCCCCCACCCATAGGACTAATGGGCGTTTGTTCATAACTGCTAGTCATTGTGCAGCTACATCCCTATCGATTGCCTTTATCAGCTGTCCTTGAAGGGTGCGTTCCTGCAGTGTGATAAGTCCCAGGTCGTCTCAGGCCCTCCAATTTCTTCCATGTCAGTGTTTTCTGTCCTGTCACTCTCCTCTGCTGGCCATTAGGACTGGATAGCCTCTCTTGCTGCATAAACAAACCACCCCCTGTGAGAAATGGCGCTAGAGTTTTAGTTTTGTGATCAGTCGGTATTGATTTGAATTTGGTTGAATGGTTCATGAAGCCTGGGTTGCTGGAGACCATGGTTAATCTTTTTTTCTCCCTCATCCCTCAGATGCATATGACTGTAATCTCACTGACCTCTCTCTGTCCCTCTCTGCGCAGGCTTCCGGGGTGACCGTGACAGATGACGTTATCACAGTCTTCAACGAGATGAAGGTGCGTAAGGCGCAGGCGAACGAGGATGAGAAGAAGAAGAGGAAGAAGGCGGTGCTGTTCTGCCTGAGCGAGGACAAGAAGCACATCATCCTGGAGGAGGGCCAAGAGATCCTGACAGGAGATGTGGGCGTCACGGTCCAGGACCCCTACCTGCACTTCGTCAAGATGCTGCCCCCAGACGACTGCCGCTACGCCCTCTACGATGCCACCTACGAGACCAAGGAGACCAAGAAAGAGGACCTGGTCTTCATCTTCTGGTGAGGAAAGAGGGGGGGGGCTCGGCTAGACTGGGGGGGTAGGCTGAGGGGGGCATCATCCTACATTTTCTGGTATGGTGTCACTTTGACTGTTCAATCACTTGGCTTCGATACTCGGGACAATGGTTAAACCATTACCCCTCCCTCATAGGGCCCCAGATGGTGCTCCCTTGAAGAGCAAGATGATCTACGCCAGCTCAAAGGATGCCATCAAGAAGAAGTTCACAGGTGAGAGGCACTGACAGTTGCAGATGGAAGAGACCTTTTGGGCTCTGTGGGTTCTCTTCAAATTAAATGGCATCTCCTTGCTCAATGGTATAGCTCTGTGTAATTGAAATGCATTATACATTTTTTTTTTTTTTTTGGGGGTTAATATGCTTTGTGTCCTATGTGAAGCTAAATTTTCCCTCTGTTATTTCAGGTATCAAGCACGAGTGGCAAGTGAACGGTTTGGAAGACATCAAGGACCGGCGCACCCTTGCCGACAAGCTCGGAGGCTCATCAGTAGTCACCCTGGAAGGAAGCCCTCTATAAATTTAGCCCCAGGCTTCAACTGAAGCCAGACATCTGAGGGGGTTGGCTGTTCATTCCAATATGGTTGGGAGGAGGGGCAAAGCAGGACCAGGATCATTTGTGGGACTGTTGGGGGGAGGGGTATTGTGTGAGGGGAGGAGGAGGGGGTGGGGGTGAGACAGTGACAGTTTTCAAATTCCACAAATGCAGCCTGTCATTCCAGTTCACACGACATAATGAACATGAACAAAACGCACACTAAGAAAAAGCTAAAAAAATAAATAAAAAAATGATGATGAAGGACGATGATTATGAAGACTAAATACATAAAATGTAAATGTTTGATGACAGGGTTTTGTTCTTTCTGGATTCCACTAGAATGATGATCGCAGAGAAAAGGACAGGGCAACAACTGTTACAATTCCAACTGTTGACTCCTGCAAGATACTGTTCTTAATTATACAACTACCTTTTGGCCAAACTTCTAGTTAAGTTTTCTAAGTGTGTGTAGTTGAGACTAGGTGTAGTACAAGGCAATTTACTCTTTATCGATTGCACGAGATGCATCAACCTTCTCCGGGGGAGCACGGTAGCATTTTTTTGGGAGGGTTGAACATGCAAATTACAAAACTTAAGTGATTCCAGTTATGTATTTTTTCCAGTTCTGAGTTTAAAATAAACATTGCATTGATGTAATAATTTAACACATTCCTTATACAACAGGATCCGGTGGGTTTAGAAGTGTGAAGGTAAGACGGGGCCGATGTATTTGAACAGCCTGTGTTCAGAATTTAGACTGGTATTGAATGGTGGACGTTTGTATCGTCTCCTTATCTCTAATAAAAAGGCACTAAACGAACTTTGTACTGCGCCTTTTTCGTCTAGCTTGTGTTATTGAGGAATGAGAAGCCAATAAGGTTGATAATTTAGCCTGTCCAAATGGAGGATGTGGATGTCTGAGTGTTTTAGGCTAAAATGTTGACGTCCTATTGGCTGCGTTTACACAGGCAGCCCAATTCTGATCTTTTGACCAATGATTGGTCTTTTGACCAATGAGATCCGATATTTTGCCAATAATTGGTCAAAAGATCGGAATGGGCTGCCTGTGTAAATGCAGCCATTGAATGTCACAAGTGTCTGGGTAATATCTGAATAAATTGTCACTTAAGTTGATCTATTGAAAATGATTGATTGTTTGGTCCAGGAACCTGCTTACACAGGGCAGTTAGTGATGCTTCTTATATTTGTAATTGGTGAACTCTTTTCTTCTTAGTATTCTGTGCCATGCATATCTTAACATCCGCTTGTTTGAATTTCGTTCTTTGTCAGAAATTGTCAAATTGAAACAACCAAATTTAATTAGTGGTTTTAAAAATGACCACTGGCATCATGTAACCTAAATATATTTATATACTGACCACAAGAGGGAACTCTAACTCTTCTGAAAAGTGGATTCAATTTTACAGTAGCAAGTAGCAACTCATTATTTGAATAGCTGTTGCTTTCCATAACTGACACAAGCATTTATGATAAATCTCTTCATTTATTAAAATAGGCATAAAAAAATATCACCAACATTTTCTCCCCTAACCAGCTTGAACGCAAGTTGTTTATGCTGCAAGCTTTCAGAGTAAGACACTCCCTTAGGTTTTCAGAATTGGACTTTCATTGATTTCACCATCGATACCTTTGACCCTTTTTGACATGTTTGGTGTATTGAGGCTCTGTATCTTGTCAGTGTGGCTAGGTATGCCTCTGTGGATCATTGGGAATGAGTATGTCTTTCTAACCCAGAATGAGAAGTTCCTGTACTCAAATCATTCACATCCTTAAGTGACATTACCTAAACAAATAAACCGTCCCCTCCCCACATCTCTTTGTAAAATCAACTCCACACCCACACATTTGATCCTAAATGTTGAAAAGCATGCAGCCACAGTATTATAGAGAACAATGGGTGAGTATATCTAAAGAAAATAAGTCCAGTACTTGCTCCATTGGCTAAAGCTGTTCAATACTCTTCCATAGTAGAAAGTTAATGGCTCCTACCATAGTTATAAAACAGCAAGGCTCCTAGTCACAGTGGTTGACACCTCTGAGGAAAACCTGTTACAGCGCGTGAAGGTTTAGCAGTCCTGTTTTCTTCGATGGTATTGTAGATTTTTTTATCTTTATTAGGATTAAATCCAGTTTCACGCTTACCCTTTATAGAATGAGTTGGGGAGTCATTTTCTCTCCACATCTCCTTTAAGGGATTTTGTGCTTACTTTAATTAGTTATCAGTCATGGGCTTCATAGCCTCCTTTTAGCCCCCCCCCCCCCCCTCCCCTTTCTCTCAGTCCTGACTACAGTCCACTCGGTTCCCATGCACCCAGTAACAGATCTGGGCAAACTTCAGCGGGGTGAATCTCACAGCCACATTGTAGTCGCGGTTCTCCCCATCAATCTCCAGCCACTGGTGTCCAGAGAAGATGCCGATGACTTTCCTCTCCCAGCGTTCCAGAGTCGTGTCCCACACACGGCCGTACACCCCCGAGCCGCTGGCCCCCGGCCGGGCATCACAGTGCTGGTAGATCAGGTCGTTAGACTCGTCCTCTACAGGACAGAAGCGGTAGACCAGCTCCCCAGGCCTGTCACTGTCAAACCCAGAGAAGTGGATGCGTTTCCCTGCCAGGTCGTCAGAGGAGGGAGCCACAGACAGACGCATGAAGGGCCGGCGGTGAGGCCAGCGCAGCTCCAGGAGGGCGTAGTCAAAGTCCATGCTGACCTCCTGGGGGCCCTGGATCCAGCCCTTGGGGACACGGGTGCGTTTGACCCGGACCCAGCGCACCAGGGGCTTCTTGGTGGGGGTCTGGCTGGGCTTGGTGCCGTTGATGTACGGAGGAGTCAGGAAACCTACCCTCAGCTTACGGGCTCCCTTGACGTAATCCTTCCCATCATGCACACAGTGGGCGGCGGTCAGGACATGGCGTAGAGATACTAGGACCCCGGTGCAGCCGGTGGAGATCCTCACAGCTGTGGAGAATGGGTAGTCCAACAGGAAGTGGTCACCGCGGATGTTGAAGCGCCCATCAGCCCCGTAGATCTGTCGTTTCTGACGCCTGTGCCTACTTGTAACTCTACGTCCTCTCGTTGGTGGAGGTTGAATGGCAGGACTGATGGTGCCCTCATAATCATCCTCCACATCCACAGTGGTGAGGGTACGAGAACCGTCTGCGTAGAGCGTCTCGAAGGCCAGCTGCTCAGTCAAGTGCTCTCGCCTGCTCTCTTGCTCTCCCTTGTAGCAGCTGGCATTGCAGTGAGTGGTGAAGTCCAGTTGAGTCTGGGAACTGAAGCGAGAGCGGGAGAGGGGCAGGGGTGCATGGGGCACCAGTGAGGGGAGGTGGTGAGGGGGAGCTCGGGATGATAGAGTGAAGGGGAGGAGCAGGGCTAAGATGGAGAGATGAGCCAGGCCAGAGTTTGGATGTGGAGACATGGTCATTGAGCAAAACACTGAAATGAAAAACACATAAAACATTTAAAGTACATTCCACAACAATACACAAAAGACAAAAAAAAGGAATCTACTTATCCTTGAGGAATGGAAGGGTATAGATGAACTAGGAACTTCATGGACTTTGCAGAAACCTTGTTTGATTAATGACGCTTAAAAACAGATAATCACTGATGAAACACAACGTTGTGGAGAACACTGGCTTTTCTGGCTTGTCTACCCGATTGAAGTAAATCATTCACAAACACTCACAACCCATAATCCCCCATAAAATCAGTCCACTCTCAGTCTGACACGTGGATTCCAAATCCCCTAGCTCAGAGCCCATACACGCGGGATCAGCTAACGCAGGCTCATGTTGCAATGCAGGTCTGAATTTTCATTTCTTTGAAGAGGTTACAATGCAGCTCTTGTTCCTGTCATTTTAAACCACGCTACAAGGGTCTGACAAGCATTAAAATGTCAGTTCTGCTGGTGGTCTTAGTGCTCAAAGAGAGGTTTGCTATACAAGCCCCAGGAGAAAGCCATCTGGTTATGTACACAAGACAAGAGTACAGAAGGAAAGTAGGTGTTGGGGCACACATTGGATATCAGTCGTTGTGGAAAATATGACACTGCGTATGGTTACACAGCCTATTTTTCTGCAAATGAACTTGTATCATAAAGTTTTGAATCTTGGCTACTGTGTTGTGTATGTGTGGGAGGATAGGTCAGACTGAAGGGGACGGGACGTGTATTCCAGTTTGCTCTGCAGAAAGAAAAGGGCTTCTCAAATTATATTTATGATAAGGCTCTGGGGCAAGGTGGTGTCTGCTGTCAAACATTAACTACCTTCCTATGTATGAGTGTGCTAGGCAGGCTCAGGGTCCAGGGGGAACTCGATAGGTCTGAAAACTATGGACTCAGGCTCTAGTGGCGTAGAAGAGAGCAGGTGTCTAAAGACCTGTTTATACCTGGTGCTAACATGCATCCTGTGTCCAGATAATGTCCACATTCTTATTGTGCACACATTTTCAGATAGGCGTAAACGATTAAAAAACGCATTATGAACTGATTTTGATCATATCTTATAAGTGTAAACGGACAAGATCAAGACAAGATCAGGACACATGACCCATGTTAGCGCCAGGTATACATGGAGTTTAAAGTGGAACAAGAGGCATTGGTGTACGGACAGGCATTTCTACACAAAGCGAGGCAGGGGAAGGGCGAGGGCGAAAACAGGCGATTCCCGCCACACAACTGTATCATCCTAGTCTATCATCATAGACAAAGAAGATACAGTTACTCAAAGGTGCTCATGTCTTGAATAGATGTAGCCTAGGGACTCCATTTTAGGGGTTACTCTGACCTACACTGCTATGCTGTTAAAAACAACAGTCACCACACCCTGGTCTCTGATCCCCTCCACATTAAACATCTACATTTAGCCATCTTTTATTGGGTTCCTTTCAATTTGCAAGGACATTATTACAAACACAATGTCAGAGAGGACTTAACACGATTGTCCAATTCTAAGGCTATTAAAGTCTGTATAGACTGTAACATTGATAGTTTCCAAGGTCTGAGACAGATTAGCTTTAATTGGGGAAAACAGATAGAGTATCAAAAATAATCACACATCTAACCACACTAACCTATAATCAGCAAGCATTTGATGAGGGACCCAAAATAATGAATAATATATGTCAAGAAATATCATGGTGAATCTTTATTCCATTTTCCAATAGTCTGCGGAGGGGTGAGTTTGGTTTGGTTGACCCTCCACTGTAAGTCCCAAAGTACACAACAGTAAACTGATCCCCACATTAAAAAGATCCTCCAGCTCTAACACATTATAGAGCCAAACAGCCTTAAAGCCTTTTTGAATCCTCTCTAAGGCACTGGACCTCCACTAACTCTGTCAACACCTTGCATCAGAGTCATTTCAAATGCACTTCAATTCCAGTCAATTTCCTTTGGCATGGCAATTTGAATGAAACAATCTTCCCCATTTCTACATAGATCCCATTTCTGACAAGCAAAGCTGATGATTATAGCCCTCTGAGAGGGTACTATACTAGAACTACATAGAGCCATGACTACACTGAACTCTATTCCACATCAAGTAACTCATGCAAGCAGTAAAATTAGATTTACCTTATGGAACAGCGGGGACTGTGAAGAGGTACAAACACAGGCACAGACACATGCATACACACACATGATAACATACGCACTATACACACACGTACACATGGATTTTGTGTTGTAGATATGTGGTAGTAGAGTAGTGGCCTGAGGGCACACACTTAATGTGTTGTGAAATCTGTTGTGAATGTATTGTAATGCTTTTAAAATGGTATAACTGCCTGCTGAACCCCAGGAAGAGCAGCAGCAGCTAATGGGGATCCATTATAAATACAAATACAAATAGCCCTCTGAGGGATCCTGAGAGGCTAACAAGCACCAATGCACCTATATAAGCTACTAAGGCACATAAACATTTGAATAATGGATCTCTGTACACCTGAATGCTGTCATCGGCATTCTTCATCTCATCTTTGACCCTTGAGTGAAGGCTCTGGAATTCTGAGAACAACCTGCTTCCCAGGGCCAGAGCTTTGTCCTGAAAACCCCCTCACTGGGTCTTTTGTCATTCATGAGTGAATGTAGTATTGTCCCGTGTCCACTCCTTGGGTTGTTGTTAGACCCCAAAGACAACAGATGATGTTTACCTTGCCCTGTCACTATTGCGATTCACCAATACTGCAGAATAGTGCTGGGAGGCAGTATACTGAACATACTGAAAAATGCAGTGGGGCTGGGCTGAGGGGGGGGGGCAAAAGTTAATGTTTAACAATTACAGTAGTGGAAAACAACATTACAGATTTCCCAGGACAAAAAAAGTGATGTTACAATGTAGCCTCCTGGTAACAAACCAGTTATAACTATATTCAAAATAATGATAAAAAAATTATTAGGCTACTTAGATTGACAATAAATGTCATACTGTACCTTTTTGTTAAACAGTTAGAATCTGTGTTTAAATCCAATTCACGTTTTCGCCCCCTTCAAAACTACCGGGCATCTCAATTCTCCAGATTTCTCCCATCGCTTCAGTGTGACAGGTAACGTTATCTCTCTCTCTCTTCACAGTCCCGCAGAGAGCAAGGCGCCACTTTGATAACGTGTCGAAATCAATTCGGTCCAAGCAAAGTTTATTGATGAGAGTCAACTATAGGGTTGTATTCATTCCTACTCAATGTCACTGTCCGTCCGTGTGAGTAACTTCAACCGCTGTTCCGCTCAAAGGCGCTTACAAATAACTTTCTGAAAATGTTACTGAAAATACGTTTAGAGACGCTCTCCCTCACGGTCCTAGCGCCCCTGCTGTACACAAAAATCGTAACATGTCTCAGCTGGACAAATCTGCGTTTAGGATGGTGAGAGTGAAGATGGGTACTGGCAGAGCACATACGAAACATTCTGATGCCCTCAGGTCAAGATCCTTGTGTCCAAGTGAAACTGTTAACTTTTTTATCCTGTCAGGAGTAGACCTTGGCACTAGGATTGGGAGTGAATCAAACGTGAATAGCCTGAGGCTATATCAAATGCCACCTGCCATTTAGAGCCAAAGAGATGTTGAAAAATACAAATTGCAAAAGGCTCTTAAAATTCTTAGTTCCTGATACGTTTCTAAAAAAAGCAACAGCCATGGACTTACTAAGCAGGCTACAATGTAGGCTATTGTATATCTAATGCAAGCAGTTTCCAGTAGTCCACATGGATTATCCCTAACTCAACAAAACACAGTAATTAAGGTATGGGTTGCAATGGCTGCCATCCAACTTCTCCATCTGCACCGTTTTCCATCATATGATTAGATGAAACTCACCTGAACGGAGACATATTTATCCTTATTAGTGGAGTGGTTATAGCCCACAGGCAGGCAGAGGAATTCCAGAGATGTTGGGACATGTTGTGGTAGTGATGGCGGTGTTCATCCATTCCCTGCCCACATCCCAGTCAGATTTACCTCCTGACTTTATCTTTTGGGGGGGGTATCCTTAGGCCCTATGTGGACGTGTGGATTGTTTAAACCCACGTCCCAGATCATTCTCCCAGTGCCCCTCCACTGGCACTGAAACAGAGACACTCACAGACACTTTCTGGAAAGCTGTGGAATCTACCAGCAAGGACACAACTCGAGCTCTCTCAAAACAATGTGTCTGCTGTTGTCCCCAAGTGGGTCTGTATGCGTCCTCACTGTGAATGTCACACATACCTAGCAAAGGTTTACACTTTGGCCTCTTATCACCCATCCTTGAACTATTTTGGCATGGCTCATCACAGCTTGGCTTACGCCTCAAGGAGATGGAATATGAGATGATAGATTCATGAGTTTTTCACATTAACAAGCGACCAGCAGTCTGTGTTGGTGATATATATGGTTTTTCTGATGCATCCATCTTCTGTCCTAGAGCTCCAGGGATATGTTGAGATAACAGGGCATTGAGGCCAAAGTTATGGTCAATTACAGGAGTTTGCTTGGTAATAGAAGCCACATTAAACTGGGAATGATGATGAAGGGGTCTTATATCTTGTTGGTAGAAACAGTCCTGTAGGTGTAAATGTGTCAGGCTGCAGCCAAGCTGTCTCCACTGATGGTATCACTCTGACTTTGGGCAAACATGAACTGTGTCACAGCAGGAGAGAGCAAGGGAGAGAGAGATTTCCTCTGTGTGTGTTTGGCATCAAAACTAATAAGATTCCTCTGTTTCCCTCGTCTCCTTTTTTTTGTTCTTCAGGCCAGTTTTCCCTCTCACACATGCTTGCCTCTCTGGGATTGTCTCTACAGTCATACATTTTATACAACATTGAGCATCAACAGGCCAATTTGAACCATTAATCATATTCCAATGAGATTTGGGATTTTTCTGAGCATTGTCTATTTTCCCACTTTCCTCAGGTTCCACCTCTCTTTCAGCGTGTGTAATTAGGAGGCC